TCCTTGCAAAATACCCAGCTCAGCGAAGTTGTGACTGTTTCCGGAAAGTCTCAGTTCCACTAATGTTACATTTTGTAAGAAAATCCTCGCTGTTACAAAATGTGTGGACTTATATTCAGCTCACTAGCGGGACTGAAATGTCATATATATATATATATATATATATATATATAATTGCTAAGATGGTTAATTATAAGATTTGACAATCAGTCACCCAGACGGGTGCCTGTAATCTCTGCGAATCGGTGTTCACTTGTATTTATATTTGATTAGTAGTTTTAGATTAATAAACGTTTTGAACACAAAAGAATTTTGACGTGTGCAAGTCACGGGAAAGTGAAAAGAGAGTGGCTATTTCTTGGTGGGTGATATTCCACTGCATAAGGGTTTCTTCATTTTTGTATTTTTACATGATTTGCAAAAAGTTTTCTCTCAAGCAATTGTCACCTTCGAATACGAGAAATAATTTTCATTTTATTTAGATCAAATACAATGAGTCATGTCTGAAATAGATGCGTATTTCTTTTTAGTAAAAATGTTTGTCCCTGATGATGACCAGAGATGGTCGAAAGTGCTCAGACGAAAGTATGAAATTTGGACAACTTATTCACAAATTTAATATACAAAAATTTTTATGCAAAGTAGGAAAATACGAGACTTGATAAAAAATTATTGTAACTCTTGCTATGGTGACGGATCTAAAGTACGCAGAGTGAAGATGCTTGACACAGATTGACCTTGAACTCTGTTGCATATTCACACTAAGTTATAACGTTATCGCTCGATTCTGTTTTTTTTTTTTTTAATAGTGCATGGCAGGAAAGTGTGTAGAGTGTGGTCGTCTCACTATACCGCACCGGTTCCATCAGTGCCCATGGCTTGTGCAGAATTTTTTTTTACAGAACATTCCCCAGGTCGTACAACCACCATATTCCCCTGATTTCGCCAATGGCGATTTTTGCTCTTCAAAAATGGAATCTCACTTGAAAAGAACAATATTTCAAAATGTCGACGAAATCCAAAAGAATGCGCCGAGATAGTTGCTCGCTATCTCCAAAAAGGAATTTCAGAAATGCTTCCATCAATGGAAACGAGGCTGGATAAATTGTGTGGCTTCAGAAGGGGACTACCTCGAAGGAGATTAAATGCCGAATTAATATGTATTGTAGTTTTCTTTTTATACAACTAGTCCCGATACTTTTTGATCAAACCTTGCACTTAATAAAACTTTTGTGATTGAATCCTTGCTGATATATATATATATATATATATATATATATATATATATATATATATATATATATATTGAGTTTAATATATGTGGATAATTATTAGTTTAGCTCAGTAACAGTTATGGTTGACTTCATAAAGCTATTGGTTCGTCCACTGGTCATGACAGTTAAGATGGAAGTCAAAGAACTTGATCGAAGATCAATTCTTCATTTTCCCATCAGTGAACATAGCACTAATGAAAAAAGATATTAATACCTCAACATGCCTAAATGAGAAGCCAGATACCCAGGGTAGAATGATACAGAGGAGATGTTCGTATTTAGGAAGTAAATTCATTTACCACGATGCGATTGAATGACAGATAGGAATCCTGAGTGTTGCATATTTCGGAGGCCAGTCCTTTTTGGGATACCACTCGTCATTAACACACAAGAGTTAGGTAGGAAACACAGAAGCAGCAACAAGACTCCTTCAACAGAGAAGACTTTTCGTTTGTTCCCTAACCCCATTAAAATTCTTCTCATTTCTTCTTCAACGTACAATATGTATGTGGAACATTATTTAAACAAAACAAACCGAGTCGAGCAGTTTCGATTCCTGTAAGCGGTTGTTCCTTTTAAATTGATTGGAAAATATTTTGTTCATACACAACTAGTTCTACAAATCGGTTATCCATTTTAAACATAGTCCCATTAACAACAATCGACCATATATATATATATCTATATATATATCTATCTATATATATATATATATATATATATATAATATTAGTGGTTAACACACACACACACACACACACACACACACACACACACACACACACACACACACACACACACACACACATTATATATATATATAAATTTCCAAGAGGATAGAATCCAGGTAGAACTCAATGTCTATTTTCCGATTTCTTTTTTAATATGTAGGTCTGATGAATTGGATTGTAATTACGATTCCAATGTAATAAATCATAACCATGAAATACAAGTGTTTGAGCCTTGATATATATATATATATATATATATATATATATATATATATATATATATATATAATGTATATAGCGTTGAATATGAATGACAAGGTACTTTTTGTTTAGATTTTCATTATTTAAATGAATGCAAAAATTTTGGGATTAATGAATGCAAAATTTATTCAAATGTTTCTTAGTTCCGAGCGATAAGATTTGTAAAACAAGCGAATAAATGCGGTGAATACAAAAGTTACATTATTTTTTAAAAAACAAACTGTTCTCAATATCTCAGAGAGAGCGAGAGAAAGAGAAATAAAGAGAGAGGGGGATGCAGAGAGAGAGAGAGAGAGAGAGAGGGGGACGCACACAGAGAGACAGAGAGAAGGGATGCAGAGAGAGGGAGGGGGATGTAGAGAGAGAGGGGATGCAGAGATAGATACAGAGAGAGATGCAGAGAGAGAGAGAGAGAGAGAGAGAGAGAGAACGAGAGAGAGAAAGTGTCTAGTAAGATCTCTTTAATTCCGATCGCAGCAAGCATTCTCCATTCGGAACTAATAGTCTTACCAGGAATCTTGCTCCAACCGGGATTTTAAGCGATTTTAGTTGTCGATCTATACTTGATTCGCTTTCACAATCTCTACTCTAACTCTCTCTCTATATCTATCTATCTACCTATATATCTATCTATCTAGACACACACACACACACATATATATATATATATATATATATATATATATATATATATATATATATATATATATATACAGTGGGTGGGGAAACAAATATTCGTACACGTACAAATTTTTAATTTCCATGGACCTGGGAAGGGGACGAAGATAAGAGTGTGATTGCGACGAAAATGAAAAATGGTCGGATGACAGACGGAGAATAAGAGGTGAGGAGGCTGAACTGTGACAAATGGACAGAAAACGCTGTAGGAGAAGACCAGAGAGAAAAAAAAGGAGATGAGATAAAATGGGTTTGCTACTAAGAAGTGGTAGTGATTATCAAGTCAGGATCGTCTTGGAAACCGACTGCAAAGCAACAGTGAACTCGTCATGGATGCTGCGGTTGAAGTTGTAGAACATTGTTCAGAAAGAAATTCTCATATTCATCTAAATATTTGAGATGAAGGATTATCATTAACTGATTTACACGGGTTATAAATTAACAGAAGAGAACAGTGGCTTTTCACAGCGTACTACTGTACTCTTCAACCTTTGTAGCCATTAAGCTTCTGGGAATTTCGAAGCGCACACTTTATTCAATCTACAAGACCGGTTATTCTCATTTCGGTGTTCATGCTACAGGGATTTCCTATGAGTTAATTCCCCCTTGTTAATTCGTGCTTTTGATCTAGCCTGACTGTTTCATGAAACCAGATTATATGACTTTTTGCTAGAGGAAATCATATTAGCTATTTCTCCCCAGTTAATTTGTTCATCTGATGTTGCCTGTGTTGTTCTCTGAACCAGTATATATGACATTTTGCTCTACCAGGCCCCGGGATTCTTAACTAAGAAAATAATCAGTGTTACGAGATCTCTTGGATTGGTTAAAGAGTTCGTTTCAAAATTCTAAAGCTTAAACTACGACGGACTCTTGGAGAATGCCAACGGCTGCAAACGTTGCGATTATAACAACAAAGATGAGGATGTTCTTCTGAGTTAATCAGTATATCGTAAGAAATTGTATATTTTCCAAATCTGGAAATTAATTTTTCTGTCGAAAATTTTTATGCATATTTTTTTTTTTAACAACGTTTCGACTGTTGTGTCCTCCGGCCTTCATCAGGTGTATGTTGGTCCGGGTAAACTACAGGAAGATTATTAAACCGAATAATCTCCCTTTTTTCTGCTGACAGCTATCCTGGGAGAAGGCAAGGTGGCGTAATGGATAGCGGCTCGGATTGAGAAATTGGAGAGCCGAATTCCAGTCGAATCCATTATTTTCACTTACGTACTAATACCCTTGGGAAAGGTATGACTCCTCTTCTTCGCTCAGCTATGGGTAAATAGCAGGACAAACCGGGTTCTATAGCCTTGGATGGCAACTGTTCTATCACAGAAAGAAATGGCAATCTACTGCGAGAAAAAAATCTGCCTCGTCAGTCATGTATCGAAAGCTACATGATCGCCCATGCGTGTATCACGCATGTCACATAACTGACTGAGTTATCTTGAATGTTCCATTCTTAAAAAACAAATTCCCTGCAGAACCACTTTTCATACTCCTGCTTGGCATGTTTAAAATCATTTTACATTTCTGTATTTCGCATACAGTCTGTCACATACAGATTTGGGGGTCTGCTTAAACATAGCCGGTGAATAGTTTGATGACGTGTTACAATACGCTAGGGTATTAGTCTCCTTATATGGTCGTTATGTTCCTTTAGTCAAACCAATGTCCATATCTTTCAAATTCCCCTGTTTAAAAACCTTTATAATTTTTTTCTGGCTTCAAGCAGCATTTCTAACACTGAAGCCACTGAGAAACATTCAGCTATCATACTTCTAAAAAGTTTCTTATTCACGATTGTCTTTAGTTTAGATATTAAATAATTTCCAACCCTCACATATATTTATACATTATGAAGAGTTTTACATTGATCTACACCTACCTACTTATTTACCTACCTACCTACATACATTGTTAGGTAGCTTTGTTAGGTAATAGACGCTGGGGGGGGTTTTTTTGACATATTTTCCGATGCCCACGCGGGCTTAATAAGCGCTCGTGAGTATCGGAAAATATGTTATTAAGGCTAAAACGTTTATTAATTATGAATTTTTTAACTTTTAAATGATTTCCAGTCCACTTTGTTTTTTTTTATAAGATCCCCTCATTTATTGCATATTAAAAAAAAACCTAGCTCGCTATTATTAATACCCAACTTGTATTAGACACCTATGCGTATATATGTATATATATATATATATATATATATATATATATATATATATATATAGCATAGGTGTCTAATACACTAATTTACCACTAATATTATCAATTTTTTTTGTGTGAATAATTCATGAATTTGGAAATTGATTGCACGTTTATCGTAATTTAAATAACTGATCCAAGTGCGACTTTTGGATAATAAGTACGACATTACTGTAATTATTGAACAATATAGTTCATGCCACTTTGATAGAAAATTTACCAGTAAAAATTCGTTCATCACCATATTTGTATATGAACGCACAACTTTAAAAATTTAAAATCAAACTCAGCGTTGCTACTGCGCGCTCCAAAAACAATAACTCATTTCCAATAGCATTTTCGGATACAACAATACATATATTTTCGTTGTCTTCTTATTACTAAGAGAAAAAACAAGAACAACATCTATTCTATACCTGAAGATGTCTGTAGGAACAAACGAAAGCTTGTAGTAAAAATAAGAACTAATACGGCAGAAATTTATAGAAACAAGGATCATTTCATTCATAATGGATTCGGAGGTTTTTGTATATTATTTGAATTGTTTGCGACGATGGATTTCTCGCCAATTAAATCATTAACCTTTGCATTTGTTTTTGTGTGAATAAATCATGAATTTGTAAATTGATTGCACGTTTATCGTAATATATATATATATATATATATATATATATATATATATATATATATATATATATATATATAAAAAAAAAAATTACCCCAGCATAATTGTCCAACCCCAAAATATTTAATATCTAAAAAAACACTAAACTAATTAAGTTTCTTTTTTAAGATTTACAGATAAGACGTTTAGCCATCTTGATACCATTTGTCGTAAGAATCCCAGAAAAACCCCTGGAGTTATTCAGCTAGAAAGAGAAAGGGTTAAAATCGTTTTGTGTTAGCCCCAAATGAACAACAGCGAGAGGAAAAAGATCATTCAGGACTTCAGTAATAGTACCGACATTCACACTCTCCCTTCCATCTTCAAAGTCAATTCAAGGACCATGGAGAGAACGGTGAATAAGTTTAAAAACAATGAATAGTTGAGAGGAAAACTGGATCAGGAGGTGAACCATCATGTCAACTTAGACCTAAAAAGACCAATTAGGAAAGGTCCACCTCAATCCATAAGACGTTTGGCACGTGAAAGTGGAGTTTTAGTTATTACAGTTCGAAGAGCAGTGAAAAAAGTTTTGAAAATAAAATCGTATATTGCCAGTGAGGCAAAATGTTATTCTACGAAAACTAGGAGGTTAGATCATCTTGAATCAGTTGAAAAATGATCTTGGAATAATATATATATATATATATATATATATATATATATATATATATATATATATATATATATCTGTGTGTGTGTGTGTGTGTGTGCAAATATGTAGAAAAGTAGGAAAGAACATGTTAGGTAAATAATCCGGAGTTCTTTAGTATTTTTGTTTTTATTTTTAAAAAAACAGTGCTCCATACAGAAGTAGAGCTTAAATTATAATTATTTTTTTAAAAATATGATTCCTTCGCTACATAAGAGTTCTAATGTTTCAAAAACGAGAGCCGAAAACCTTAATATAATTATTAAAAATAAATTGAATTAAAGTATCAAGCACTGTTTCGTCCTCAAGCAAAAATTTAGGAATAACCAATCTTGAAATTTACGCATCTTTATAAGAATGTTCATTCGCAAAATTAATTACTATGGAAACGGCTGGAGCGACCATTTTGATAAGGGATTTAAGAGTTAACAATTTGAATCCACATATCAGTCACCTTCGGAAAGTGGTCAAGCCGAGGCAGGGCTGGCGTGTCCATTTCAAAGCGAATGACGGCATTCATGTACGCACATCGTCTGGTCAGTCACAGCGAAAGATAACTGTTGGCACCATAATACGTCGTTAAGTGTCTAAAGAATTTTATTTATTTATTTTTTTTCCTAAAGGGCTGTTTCGTACATAAACGCGTCGCACTGAACTACAATTTGTTTTTTTGACGACTTCATAAAGAGTTTTTCCATCATATGATTGGGTTAAGCTTTTAAACCTTTTATTAGACTATGAAATTTAATTTTTTTATGTACTAATTACTTAATGCGAAAATTTGTTGATGTCGGCAAAAAACAGTTAACTCATGTCTATGGTTTAATAAATTTTCATTATTTAGAAACTTAATTATGTGTAGTTTTTCATGTAGGCATAAAGGACATCCCAGGTTTTACAAGTTCTTGTTCTATTTATTTTTTTCCATTTTACTTTTGGTGTTTTATTCATTTATTTTAAATGTCAAAAATATTTGGATAGAGATGTCTGATTTCTATTACTAATATTACTGAAGGAGCTTTTGTGTTGTCTCCATCTAATTTTAAATTCATTCTTCTTTGAACCAATGTATATCCTTTCAGTGTTATCATAGTTTGAGTAAAATCACATGTTGGCTCTGAGGGTATTTAACAAACACAAATGTGCCTGAGCGAGCGTCTGCAATAGGGATTGGCTAGCCACCCTAGTATACGAGTGTCTTTAAATACGGGAGGCCACACACACACACACACATATATATATATATATCTGGCCATTAATTAATACACACAGATATATATATATATATATATATATATATATATATATATATATATATGTCTGTGTGTATTAATTAGTACATATACGTGTATTACGTTTACACCTCGTGCATAAATTTAACAATTACATATTTGCTTGACTGCGTATGCGCACCAGCACATGCGTACACACCTGCTTATATTTAGGCGTTTCATTTATCCACCCTACAACTAATATATATATATATATATATATATATATATATATATATATATATATATATATATATCAGAAGAAATAGTTTTAAGCTGTGCTATATTTATGGGATAAAGTGTAGAGCGTATGTAACTGTAAAAGTGAACATTGAAGTCAACACTCAGAGGCGACAGACTGTTTCATACTAAACGCAATCGTCAGGCCTTAATAACTCAAAAACGAGTGATTTGTGGACATATGTCTATATGGACTTTTATTCTTGTTTTGGTGTGATGAAGACGCTCCCAAAGTTTTTTTTAAAAAGTATTTTTGCTACCTCTTTTATATATTTAGAGATTTATGCCATTATATTTGTTAGGATTTATCGTTCCTTGTATGAGTGTGTGTCAGACTATGCATGTCAATTATTTTTTATTCAGTCCATGATTCTTCCATAGTTTGGATGCAAGTGTCATTTGGCCAGACTTTCAGAAGTCTAGGCTAAAATCCCTCAGGCGAAGCTCAACAAAGCAATATTGACGTCTGTCTTGTAACATGGAAATGTAGAAATAAAAAAAAAGTATCTCTTTTGGTTGCGTATTTAGAAGAAAGGCTTACTTAGTAGAGATTGACGTTCTTGAGTTTTCTCGACATACCTGCAGGCACAGTGTGGTAGGCATATATATATATATGAAGGATTGCTGTCTAAAAATATATATATATATATATATATATATATATATATATATGAATGATTGCTGCCTAAATACACAATATATATATATATATATATATATATATATATATATATATATATAATGGACTCTCCCGTCAGTTTCGACGTATGAGGATCTGACAGCTTATTGATTCAGTTATGAAAGTTTGTGCGATAATCTTAAGTGGCATTTAAGACCCGCTAGTGATTCACAAAGGAGGCCACATATGGAGCAAGTGTGAGGATTGTGAAATGAGATCACTGTTAGATTGGGTGACCTTTTAGATCTTGCTCTCGCTTCTTGAAGATGATTCAGACAAGCAGATTGAAAATTGCTGAGTCCACTAAAACACGTTGATCTCCATTCTACCCGCTCCAAAGCTAAGCGCTCAAGGGTGTTATGTGGTATATTGACTGCTGACAAGTTGCTTTTCAGCTTGTCTTTGTAACTTAGCCATGGGCGTTCTAGATTCCTGTAGCCCTGATCTAACTGTCTGTACATTAGAATCTTGGGTATCCTGTCATCAGACATTCTCAAGACATGACCAGTCCACCGTAACTGAGACTGTATGATAAAAGTCTCGATTCCTCCAATATTACACCTGTTAAACAGGTCTACGTTAGATGTCCTATCTTGAAGCTTAACCCCACAGATTGCACGCAAACAGCTTTTATGGAAAACATCTAGCTGGCGTATATGGTACCGGTATGGAGTCCAAGACTCTGAGCCATACACACACACACACACACACACACACACAAACACACACACACACACACGCATATATATATATATATATATATATATATATGAAGGATTGCCACCTAAATAGACAATATATATATATATATATATATTGAGTATTTAAATGCACAAATATATATATATATATATATATATATGTGTGTGTGTGTGTGTGTATGTGTGTATTTAGTATTTAGTTAGCAATCCTTCAATTATACATGTTTCATTAAAGACGACAGACAAGGTACTGCAATGAAATTGACATCATTTATGAATTCAAATGTCTTTTAAGGAAATGTGTTCTTGATCAAACTGAATTCATAAATAATTACATCGGTCACACTACTACATGCCTATCGAGACGCCTTACATTACACCTATCCGACCACACCTTTATTAGAACACATTTAAACACAAACAAACAAACTTACCAGATTCAGTCCGAAACATACTAGTAGAAAATACAAACATAATAACCTCATCCACATGTAAAAAATAAAAGATTAAAAATAATGGATGCCTTAATAATAAAAAAGAAAAAATCAACACTTAATAATATTAACTACGAACACGGCCACAATGTGCTGTGTTCGGAAAATAAACCATCCCTATAAATCTAAAAACGATCACACAATCCATACAGCTGTGTTAAAAAGTAAAAATCCTTGATAATGGCTAAAATTCTAGCCAAAAACGCTCGGAATTACAGAATATTTGGACAGTTTCTACACTCATTATGTCCAGAAAAGAAAACGCTTGTTGTTCGAACACAAGAAAAATTAAATAAAAAGCTTAATCGCTATACCATGTCTGTTTGCCTTTAATGAAACACACACACATATATATATGTTTGTTTGTGCGAGCGCGCGTGTGTGTGTGCGTGTATGGTAAATAAATGGAAAAATTACTTTAAAAGGTTTTTTCTGACGAGCAAAATCTGTATTCAGGTGTTTTAACGTGACCCACGTCGGAATGCTTGATTACATTGTATTGTTATTGAGTTCTGCTCAGCTTTTATGTTTTAAGAATACCACATTGTTTTAATTTGCACATGTGTCTGAGTGGTTGCAATGTTCCCTTTTTGTTTGGTAATTTCAGTGGCACTCTTTTAATCCCATCTTCGCCTGAATTAATTAATTTTCTTTATTAAAACAACATTTTCCTTGCTTAAAATTGTGAATCACGTTTAATCTTGTTAATGCTGATTTTATTAGAAAAATGCAAAGCAGACATATTTAGAAGCCATTCTCCCCCCAAAAGAAAAAGTAACAAAAAATGTTTTTATTTTTTCAGCCAATCAACGTAATTGTTTTTCGTTCCCGACTAATGTTGAGACCGATCCGGAAAGATGATCTGCTTACCTAACATATTCTATGATTTACTGATTCAGATACAAGTGGGATGTTGACTATATAGGTAGATTGGGTGAAAGGTTGGAAGCAAAGATCAGCTAACACTTATTAGCCAATATTAACAAAGGGATGCGAGCAATTTACATAGGTGCGTTTATGGATCAGGCACAGCCATAGCTGAACATTTGATTAAAAACCAGAAGCTCTGTCTTATAGCCCCGGACGTGTTCTCTGCTGAGTAATGATAATTTTGATTATCACTTGAAAGTTTGGGAACTAGTCTACATTAAGTCCTACCAGCCATCCCGTTGTAAGCAGAAGCAGTTGTTAGCTTGTTTAAAAGTAATTAAGATTTATTGTTATATTGTTTGTTTCAATATAAAATTAGTCTGGGGTTGTATAGTTTTTACTTACTGTGCACTGTCCTCGATTATGGCTCTGGTGAGAAGAGGGCCGATAAACCGGTTTAGCTGTTTCTAATTGTCATATTTCGGTAGTACCAATTTACGGTAATATATATATTTTGCTACCCCAATCTTTTGTTATTAATGGTATTTTAAAATGTTGTTCTGTATTAAAATTATTTTTCTGATGGCGCCTAATAATTGACAAAACATGTTAGGGTCATTTTTTTACAAATTTTCTTTATATATATATATATATATATATATATATATATATATATATATATATATATATATGCAGTTATGATAAATTATCATCTACTCTTGTTTACACACTATATATATATATATATATATATATATATATATATATATATATATATATATATATATGTGTGTGTGTGTGGGGGGTGCATGTGTGTTTGTGTGCGTGTGTATTTGCGTGTATCATATATTCACTTGTTAATGGAAATCTTTTTATTACCGGCTCTTCAATGTTTTCTTATGTTCGTCTGGTTTACTTTCCCTTGTCTCTCACTATATATATATATATATATATATATATATATATATATATATATATATATATATATATATAATAAACATAAACGAAGGAACAGAAGATGGCATATGACAAGATATGTATAAAATCTTACCTGTGCCTAAATAAATGCATGGAAAGAAAGAATGGAGAAGGAAAAATAGATTGGGCAAAAGAACGAGAGAGGCAGTGAGCGAGAATAGGAGAGAGAGACAGAGAGAGAGAATGTGTTTAAGAGAGAGAGAGAGAGAGAGAGAGAGAGAGAGAGAGAGCAGATGATAAATAGGATAGGCCAGCTTCGTTCTGGTTTCATAAATTATGCAAGGCAAAGCCCAAATTACCTGTCAGGTATTCCATCCTACTCTACGCATAACTGCCGAGTTGTCATGGAAACGTCAAATTTGGCTGGATAAGTTTGCATAAAAAATTACTGCTTTCGTTGCAAACAACACGGGATGTTGTTTTGCTTCGGAACATGTAGATAAAATGATAAATATATAAATATATAAATAATTGCTTCTTGATGCAGTTTTTGTCATTGTCTACAATGATTCAGGTTTTTCAAGATAGATATGAAGATGTTTATCACTAGTTTATATTTTATTGGAAATCTTTTATTATTATTATTGAAAACCTCGAGTTGATGGATATTTGCTATTGTTTGGGATTAACCATTTTCCATGTTGAAGAATTCCAAGTGAAATAAAAAGATTATCAGTCAAAATTCTTTGTTTTCAATAATGTATTCTTTGATATGCCAATAATTCCCACCGGCCCTGAAAGCCACTGATTTTGTGGGGACAAATTGTCCGATTATTAATAAAGTGTTTATTCTTAATTTCGGGTAGTTTAACGATTATTGTGAGGATAAGTGGGGTTGGAGTGTTGAGTTCAAATTCCTGACTAGGGTGTTGTGTTCACTTTCGAATAAATACCTTTGGAAAGGCGTGAATCTATCTCTTCTCCTCCTGGCTAGGATATAATAACAGAATAGACTGGTTTGTCTAGCCTTGGTTGGACACCAGCCTAGGAGAAAGACACCTCTGAATCCCTAACTCGCAACTCCAGCCCGTAAAAAAAAACTACTTGCTATAGAAACTACAACAGCAACACTTAGTGTAGTGAGGCTGTGACCCTATTTTGGTGAGCCTGTGACCCTATTCCCCTCAGAGGATTAATGGATTGATTTGGTTTTTACAAATTATCAAACTTTTTCACATTAGTTAAAGCCAGAAAATATTTTTGATTGTAATAATTCTTTGGAGAGAGAATTTACTGATACACGTCATACTAATTAATCCATAGATAGGGGAGAAGAGTTTGATTTATACCTTCCCAAAGGGTTATTTCCACGTAAGTGAATATAAAAAACCAGCTGGAATTGGATCTCAGAGGACCGAGTTCCTATTCCGCCCGTATATCGAAGCTTATAGCACCTGATATGCCCAAGCAGCGTTTCAACTGATATGGACGTCAGTCACTCCACCGACGAATCTACGAGGTTAGAAAGCATTAATTTCCACTGACCCTTAAAAACATTAATTTTCTGGGAGAACATTTTTATTATTATTAATAAGGTGTTTATTCTTAAGTGATGGCGGTGTAACAGCTATTGGCACCGTAAGTGGACTTGGTGTGTCGAGTTCAAACTGTAGCCGAGTCGGTCGCATTTGCTTTCGAAAAATACTTTTGAAACGTGTGAATACATCGATTGTGCATCCAGCTAGGTCTTGATAGCCGACCAGCTACGGTTCTCGAACTTTGGTTAGCAATCAGTCTAGGAGGACAACTGCGAAACTCAAACTGTTTGGATATGGTGCTAACAGCTCCACGCCATAAGAATCTATTTGTGATGGAGAGAACATCATTAACACTTACTGGGCTGATACTGCATCCCAATTGTACTCGAAAAGGCAGGTTTAAAACACTAACAAAAATGCAAATAATTTACACTGACCTTGAATGGTCAATGCAAATTATTGGCATTTAGTTTTTGGAGATCAACTATTTAAGATGCTTATAGTTCAGTACAGGTAGGGAAGCGGTCATCAGCGCAGAAAGTGGAATCGAAGGGCAGAGTTTAAACACTGGCCTCGTCTGTTGCGCACATATTCGCACTAATATTTTTGGGTAAAGCGTGAATCCATTTTTATCTTTACCCTACATATATGGGTTAAATAGTAAGGTAGTTACTGATATTTCTACCCTGGTGTGGCAGCCGGTCTAGGACAAGGATATCTCTGAATTTAAAACCATGGAATGGGCAACGAGAATCCACTTCATTATCTTATCCAAAATATCTCAATCCACAGTTAATGAAAAAGGAAAAAAAAGCTGTTGTTTCCTGTTCTTAAAGGACTTGATATTTTAAGACGACAAATTAAAGCCAGCAACATTTTTGCCTGTGATATTACCTTTGCTCCCCACAAATGCCTTTGCTCCTCACAAATACCTTTGCTCCCCACAAATACCTTTGCTCCCTGTAAATACCTTTGCTCCCCACAAATACCTTTGCTCCCCGCAAATACCTTTGCTCCCCACAAATGCCTTTGCTCCCCACAAATACCTTTGCTCCGCACAAATGCAGAATGTCGAAATACCGGTTAATTACAGTAGTAAACGAAATAAGAAGCTACAGCAGTTCTATCTATCAGTAGAAGAAATGTTGTTGCAATACGTTATTCAAGAAAGTTAAGATTGTTTATATAATTAGCATTGGCATTACTCCATCGACTTGGATTGGATGTTCTCATTCATTATCCGTGTTAGAATATTTCATATCAATTAATTCATATTCGTCGATTTGTCCCCGTGTTATTGATTGTCTCTTTCACTTGATCAGATTAACAACGGCCGGCTGCTTGTTTCCTTGTATTTCCCATTTACTCGGATGGCTACGTAATTCTTGTTGCGAACGTCTGCTCAGGCATATGTTCCTCCGACACAAGTCTGTAGTTTATACTGTGTTGACTTTAGTTATAGCTTCAAGAAGAGAATGAATATCTTCGTGTAATCAGGAGTTGAACAAGGTCATAATGTTCAAGCTCTTTATCGTGCTGACTTTTGATATCGTCGTAGCAGAACCAACGACAAACAGCTTCGTATGCCCAATTCCTACTCAGAAAACTTAGATCAACCCATGGTATGTTTTTCGGGTATTTTCTAAAGGCTCTGCAGACGGATATAATCGATAAGTCAACTCCTTGGTAAATCGATTATAGTGAGATTTGAACCCGAGTCTCGTGTCCGGGACGCTAATGATTTAACTGCTTGGCTAAACAGATTACATTTTTGCATTACCCGAAAATCAAGTAATTATATTTACGTAATGAATGATTTTATTCAAGAGGCCACTGAAAAAAAAAAAAAAAAAACTTTTCGGTAAATTCTTGCTGCTTTAAACCTGATCCCGATTCCTTCATCTTAACCAACAACTGTATCTCTTTATCTGCATTTTAATATGTGAGACTCCGAAATCCAAAGACGTATTATGATAGCGAATAATGCCTTCCTAAAGATAAGTAAAATATCAAAAAAATTTTTCTTAGAAACAAAGAAAATATTGCTTAACTGTTATGTCATATCAGTCCTCTTTTATGGCATTGAATGCTGGACAACCTCCTCCTCACAGATGTAGAAGAGACTTGAGGCAACAGAAATGTAGTTATACAGAAGGATGCTGAGAATAACATGGACTGAACATATGAGTAATGACGAATTTTTAGAGAAAATGGAAAGAAAAAAATATACATAACAGCAGAAAGTTGAAATTCCTAATGCATATAATGAGGAAAGAGGGCTTAGAAAATTTAACTCTGACAAGATACATTAAATGTAAGAGGAAAGTAGTGTATAACCTACCTAATGTATTTGTATAAATCGCTGGGAAAACAGGGTTTAGGAGAAATAGCGAAAAGACAAAATTTACTAAGAGCTGCAAAGGACAGGAAGTTGTGGAGAGCCATGATCGTCCACATCCTGAGGGGACATAGCTCATAGAAGAAGTGGCGAATATTTATAATTAATTTACTGTAAAGCTGTCTCCCAAAATATTATTACCTTATTTCACCCATTATTTAGCCTTGTGCCAGACTATGCTAAGATTGTCAAGAAAAACGTTATTTTGAAAATCATAATATTTAAATATATTTGTGAATTATATCCTTCACCATAATTCTGTTCCAATCCAAATCCCTTTATGACATATGAAATCATAGCCCCCCACAGCTTCCTTCGTGTTTAATGTCTGTAAACTGTTCTTGGGAAAGCAGTGGAATAGTTTACAGTTTCCTTTTTTTTACAGTTTTGCATTCAGGATAGTTTTGCTTCTATGAAATTTTCCAAAAGTTCTTACCTCATTATATATCCCAGAAAGTATAAATGTTCTATTTATTCTCAGCATCCTTCTGTAGAAACCACATTACTGTCGCCTAAAGTCAACTCTCCATCTATGGATAAATGAAGATTGTAACAATAAAACGGGGTACCAAGGCAGGGGGTACGAATCTAGAGCGTTCGCTTAAAACCACTTTTATTATAACTGCAATTAAGTAGAATCAGCACTATTATTAGCCCTGATCTGGCAGCTCGGCTCCAGCCACCTACCCACCACCGTAACGTTGTCTCTCTATGCCGTTTCTACAAATACTTGCAGGTTTAATTGTTCAAATGAGCTCTTCGCTATGGTACCTAGAGTTTTTTTTTAATTTAAACGCAGTACTACATTGGTGGCGAGGTTTCATCAGTTTACAGTTGAGCTGGCTAGGTGTAGCCGTAAGTTCTATGCTTACAGTTTCTTCTATCGTAATTATTGCTTGTGGAACTCCTTTCAGGATCCATGCTTTCTTGTCAACTATAATCTGCAAAAATTGTGTCTTAGTGACATTACTGCCTTGATTGGAGTGATACAGATTAAAAAAAATACAAACCCTAATTTGATTATGTTTGGTACAACCTTTAGTTAATCGATGCATACATGTCCATTACCATAAGATGTGCTACAAAACACAAATAAACATCGTGTATTATTCTTAAATATCCTCGTTAGATCTAGACCCTCACGTGGATGTCACGTATGACATCCCACGCATTTAGAAATGTTTAAACTATCATCATTATACTATTTTTCTCAGATTAATGGTTAAAATGGCTTCAAAGGAATCAATCATATAAATCTTAGTGAAGACTATCAATTATCATAGATTGGCGCTACATGATCGCAAACGAAGAGCTTTACCAAATAACAAAACAGAAATCACCTGAAGACTTCCAGCAACAACAAAAAATACGTAACATAAATAATGATTCAATAAAGCTGTTAGCTGTTCGTACTACCAAGCATTAAAAAGTTAGGAAGGAAACTCCGACCAGAAGTAGAAAGAGCTATAACATTTAGTTAGCATAAGAAAACTAATTTCAATAAATGATTTTATAAATGATAGTAACACTAACTGTTCAGTAATGAATGCCGTATATTTTCTGTATGGAAACGTATAACTGTACCATTAGCATTACCAGTGGGATTACCATTACCAGTGACATTACCATTACCATCAACTTTACCATTACCATTACAATTAACAGACAGTTAACCCTTTCGCGTCTGAAATGGATATATTTGCCACAAGGAAATATCCCTTAATAATACCAGTTGTTCATTTTTCTAAATAATATCAGTTACATGTTGTAGGATATTCTTGTCTCAGTCCTAGATGGCCGTCTCTTAAAATCTGAGAAAGAATGTGTTGCTCATTCAATGTTTGTACGAACATATGTGACTGCGGATGCCGAAGCTGATATTGTTGCAGGGGAGACATGAAACACATAACAATTGGGGTATAGGAATGGACGCCCTTGCCGTGTCTATTGGCTCGCTTTATGCATCAGTAAGCTTAGAACCTGATTGCTGTCTTGGAGCATAGACTATGCCACCTCGACCAAACGTGGGCTGGAGTTTGATCGATTTGAGGCTTGATTTACGTTAGGTGACTTTTTTCACAGCAGCCCCGTTCCAGTTCAAAAGAAAACTTAGGTAACATTTTTGACTCATCCGTCCGGGTCATATGGTCTGTTCATCTATGTCTTTAAAACCTTGTCTTCAATGTCTGTGGAATTGGTTTGGCATATCTGCAAGATAGTGCAAGGTCTTACAGTCATATAGAAATGATGAAAGAACAGCGGTATTGTAAATTTTCATTTTGGGAGAGAAACCAATGTCTATGCCGCAGAACCTTGGAACTGGAACCTTTCAAATGCCTAGATTGCTTTTGAGATTCTTGACGTAATTCCTTTATTAAGGATATCGGCACTGGAAACTACTCCTCAGGTATTTGAAGTTAACGACGTTCTGTAGTTGTGCGTCATCAATATTGATACTTGTCTGTCATGGGGCACTATTAGCTACAGGCTATACAAAGATCTCAGTTTTACTAAGAGCGACTGTCAAACCTAAACATTTAGAAGCAGTTGAGAATGTGCCTGAGTATCGTCTCTAAGATGGTCTTCTTAGCGCGCCATGAGTGAGAAAACAGCAGTGAAGAGCGCTTCTATGATCAGCTTTATGTGTCGCAAGGCGACGTACGTCAAATCGTGACACGTTCAAGCAGTGTTTGATGTAGATGCTTGGGTTGAGGTATTTGACGGTATGGAGTCATACATAAACGAAGAAAAGGTTGAAAATGTTGGTGTGCGTACGCAATTCTGTTTGATGCCGTCAAAGGTTTCGCTAATTTCGTCCAGTCATTATATATATATATATATATATATATATATATATATATATATATATATATATATATAATCTTATAAGTATAAGTAATTATACTCGTCTGAAAAAACCTTAGGTGTATTGTCTTGTAAATGAACA